TATCCAATTCCAGCTAAATTTAACTGCAAAGTTATCCCATATCACAGTGAAAAGTAAAAAGTAAAAACCCAATCATGTAAGTGTAAAAAGTAATCTTTCCACTCATATACTCACAGAAGCAAACTCATGTCCAGGAAGAATCCCACCAATCTCCCCCAAAACCGAACCCAACGTCATCGCCGGACTTCGAAGCAAGAACTCGCAAGCTTCCTTAGCCTTAACCATGGCAGTATGCTGATCCTCTGCAGTCACAAAGGGCAAAATCGGAGTTTCACCCCACCCCACGCACCCGTTACTCAACTCAACCCGGACCGCCACATTCTCCACCCTCTCCAGCCGCGAAGTCGCAATCGTGAACGGCGCAGTCAGCGGCACGTTCAGAGGCCGATTCTCTGCTCTCTGCACGTTCACCGTGAACGTCTCGAGCAGACTGCTGAACCCAAAACTGGTAGGGGTGGCCAGAGCCATTTTTGGGGTGAATTTTGAAAAGGGTTTTGGTTTTTTGGGGTTTCGAGTGGAATGAGGAGCAGAGCAGAGGAGCAGAGAGCTGAACGGTGAGCGAAGAGAAAACCCAATTGAGCTCATTTGATTGGGATTCGTGGTGTTTGCTCTTTAGCTACGGATTTTGGTGGTTCTGACTTCTGTAGAACTCTGATTGGTTTGTGAGGAAGATCTGCATATACGCACATATTGTTCTTGTTGCACAGACCTCTAGCAGGGCAGAGTACGACTGGTGGCAATTTTTTAATTCAAATTTCGATGTTTTATTAATTTTTTTACGTCCGATTATTAATTATTTAAGCCAATCATCGTCCTTATGTCTTTCTGTGCTGACGAGAGTGGTGGATGCATGTGTGTTTCCCTGGTTTTTTTTTCCCCAGTAAACTTGTCTGGTATAAATTTTTTGGAATATGAGATACAGTGTTTTATTTTGTTTTAAATTTTTTATTTAAAATTATAAATATCAAAATCTAACTATTAAAACGCAGAGTTTATTTTCTTTAACAAAAAGTTTAGGGTGAGGAGGTTTAGCCTATTTTTTTATTTATACATCCTATCGAAGAATAATCGCTGGCAACGGGACTCGAATGCCCTTGTGTATTTATCACAAAAATCATTGATTCCATTGGTATTTGGTACGAGAACCTGGTTGGATACCTGGATCCCCAAATATCCAACTCCAATAACTTAATTTGAACAAAAAAAAAAAAAAAACTCCAATAACTCGGGTTGAGGAAGCTGTTAGTTTTTGACTTGACCGATCTATTATTTAAGTCTCTAAAGGTGCGTTTGTTGCACCAGATAATTTCAAACTGAACTAGCTTCAGGGACTAAGATGGACTGACTTATAATAGACTAAGTTGGACTAACTTAGTGAAACGTTTGATGCAGTGTCAGACTAAGAAACATGATAATAAAAATTAGTGAAATTGCAAATTAACAATTGAAGCATCAAATTCAACTGCACAATACCCACAATTAAATTAAATGATAAAATTACAGCAACAAATACCCATCTTGAATTTTTTTCATAATTCACCAAAACAGAGTATAAAGAACAAAACCTAGATTCTGCAATGTTAAGAAATGACTTGGGGAAGAAAATTGAAGGCTTTTTTTGGGGAAATTGGAAAAAATCCAAATGAAAATTCATAGTTGAGAAACAGAAAAGGTTATTATCTCATACTTTTTTTGGGTTCATTTATTCACCTTATACTCCACACCACGAGCTCCATGAATGCCTCTATCTTTTTTTCCCTTTTTCTGTTAACCTTTTGTCTCAATTTATTTCCATAGTTGACTTGACTATTTAAATTTAATCAGCAACTCAAATGTCCCAAAATTGTTAAAAATTCAAACCTCATCACCCGATAAATTCGGAGGCAGCAGGTTTTGATTCCTTCTTCACAGCCTCACCAATTTTTTAAAATGGGGCTTCACCATAGATGACTTTGAGCATGGAAAGCTGAACCAAGGGAAATCACAAAATACCTAGAAGGGGAAATCAAATTCATACAACAACATCATAAAATACCCAGAAGGAGAAATTATTGAAGAACAAGAAAATTTCACAGCATAAAACGCACCCAGATATCATAACAACCCAGAAGGGGAAATTGAAGGGGAAATCAGAAGGGAGATTGAAGGGGAAACGTGCGATTAGGACGAGCTGAAGGGGTAATCGAAGTAGTTAAGCAGGACGTGGGGAGCGAGCAGGACGAGGATAGCGAGCAGGAAGAAGCGAGCGAGCACGTAGAGGATGACGATCTTAGCTAGTCCTCTCGTATTTGAGGGGCTGCTAAGACCTTCTAATGAAGGAATTAGTCGACGCGAGTCCCACTTAATACCATTAAACTTAGTCCTTGCTGCAGACAAACACAGGATAAAGAAACTAGTCCTGTCCAGTCCAGTGAAGGGTAGTGAAGCCAATCAAACGCACCCTAAATGATTCTGGCATTACAAAAACGTGTTGCAAGTAGTGTTTCAATCTTTTCTTTTCTAGGTAAAAGAGCCATGTACTTGAAAATTTGTTCGAAAAAACAACTCCAAATAATTCTTTAACTTATTAAAAACTATCAATTTCGTCTCTAACATAAGATTCGAACTTATTCTATTCAATTTCTCGTTAATTAAATTACGTAACACACTTTAGAAAGTAATATCATCATTTTTTCACCTATAAGCTCTTAATATTGCACACATATAGCAAATCTAATTGTCTTTTCAAAATTAACTCTATACACTGCTTTTTCGGAAGAAAAAAAAAGCTGTTAATGAGTTTAACAACTTATTTATATATAAAAAAAATTGTTTAGCAGCTTAGTTTTCACCTAAGTAATGATCCAGTACTAAATCGACATAATACTCTAGTCGATCCAATATTCCTCTCCTCAAGTGTGTCCTTTCGATGTGCCCAAAGGTTACCTTGTGGTTGTGGATTAGAAATGTTATTAAAAAAAAAATCTTAGAAGTGTTAATTAACTTTATTAACAGAAAAGACTAATCAATTAATTGGTGTTTGAGTATGAAGTTGACATCCCCGGCAACGACGCCAAATTTTTGATAGGATTTTTTACAACCTGCAAAAGTAAGGATAAAAATATTTGCAAGAGTACAAGGCTATTGTAGTATAGCAGCTCAAGCAAGATCGTTTTTCACGAGAATTGAATGAATAATTTGTGCTAAACCCAAATCTTAATTAATTATTTGAAAACAAAGTTTGGAAAATGGTGATTTTATGAACTAAAATATTAAAAACAAATTTAATTAAAAATGATTAAATAAATTGGGAAAGTAAAGAAAACAAAAGAAAATAGTTTGAAAATCTATTTAAGCACTAGGGTTCCGCAGTCACCTTAACAATCCTATGTAGTTCTTCCAATTACTTATAAATTACCCATGCATATTTTGAAGATTAGGTTTTTCTAAAGTATGCCCTACTTGGAACCTCCAAAGGAGAACGTATATCTAACATGCAACTTGTTCATGGTGTCTAGATCAAATGTGAACATGCAAAACTCATTAAGTTTGTGAAAACCTCTTGAAAAAGCATATAACCCTTAAGACGTGTCGTCCATCTTAAGAAGTTACACATATTAACCACAAGAAGCCTTAGTCAATTTCAGGGACAGTTCTCCGCAAAATTGCATTAAATTACTTTTCTAAATATCTTAATGATGGCCAATCATCAAGACAATTAGATCGTTTCAAACACAATGATTAATAACGCAAAACCTGCATGCATAATATCGTAAGTAAATTGAAAAGAAACTACATATTCTTACTAAGCCTCGTGACATCATCCTAGCAAACGGAATTAGTTACGCATAATCAAAAAACAAAATATTATTAAGAACATGGATATAAAACACCTTATAGGTAAAAAGTCTGAAATTCTCCAAAATAGTGTGTGCGTTCTCTCGTCTCTCCCTTTCTAAAAACCCTAATGGCTAAAAAGCCTTATTTATACTATTACAAAATAAAATCCTTACTAGACAAGGTCTTCTAAAAACTAGGAAACATAATAACTTTGAAACTAGGAAACATAACCTAATCAAATATGAGAAATCTGCCCAACCAAAATCAGCCATGTTTCTGGATCAGGGCTCCAAAACAGGGCCAAAACGGCTACAATTAAAGCTTGAGATGTCCCAAACATAATTGTATAAGGCCTCAGACTCAAAAGACATCATTTTGGATGCCAAAAAGCCCAAATAAGTCCAAAACGTCAGTTTGACAGCATTGCGAAGAAGTCGAATGACACACTAACATACTCCAATTGTAATCACTTCAAGTTGAAAGACAAGTTGAAAGACACACGAACATCCTCCCATTGTAATCACTTCAAAATTCGTCAATTTGATCACTTTTTTTTACTCAAGAAGTCGAATGCCCTACATTGAAAATATAAATCAAAGTATCAAATTACTCACAAAATAACTAATAAATTAATACTAAGATTATGATAAAATATATAATATATTATCGACTCAGTAGGTTAAAGTTGCCCAAAGAACAAAATATGAATGAATGATTAATTTATGGGGCTGATCGACAAAATTGTAGAGCTTTGGCTTTTCCTGCTTTACCAATAGTGCTCTCAAAAAATAAAAAATAAAAACACTAGAAACTACATTTTCAGTTTCTAATTATTGTTGAGCCAACTTGATTAATACAAAAGTGTGTCGAGTTAATTGGTATGTTCGTCTATTTTATTAAGTACAATTCTCCCTTACAACAAATTAAGTTAGTTTATATTAACACTTAGTAACAGTTTGATGAAAACGTTTGCTGGAGGCATCGATTAGGAGAACTAGTCATCCAAGACAAGATCAGTACTATTCTTTTCCAATTGTATCTAGCGGGCATGCAAAGCAACCTTGAAAAATATTTGAGCTAATTCCCCAAGCCATTCCTTACTTTATACAAGCTTACTTGGCCACCAAGCTTAGAACCCCTCACATAAATCACGATCATATTTAAGTTGGTGATGATGAACATGTATCATCAATTAACAACACTCTTACAAATAATTAAGATTAATCAACTCAGAAGGTATGCACAGAAAGCCGGGATTAGTGTACTCGTCCGATTCTGATGACAACGGTGAAATCCGCAGTGCAAAGTTATTCGGACGTGAAAGGCCGATTCATCATGTTCTTGGAGGCGGAAAAGGTATGTAACGTTCATTTAAACTGGCATGCATGCTAAAACCCTAATTGGTGATCTGCTAATTACCCTTAGTCATATGGGGATGATCGAACCGGAAAGATAATAGATTAGAAATTAATCGCATTAATCTTGCAGTTGCGGATGTGTTGTTGTGGAGGAACCGAAATGTATCAGCTGCGCTTTTGATTGCCATGACGGTAATCTGGTTTCTTTTCGAGGTTGCCGAGTACAATTTCATGACGCTCTTCTGTCACATCTCGATTTCCACATTGATGGTAATCTTCATATGGCGTACGGCTGCAGAAATATTCGGATTGTAACGTTCTTGATCTCATTCGCTAACTCAGTCTTATGATATCAGCTTTAGCTTTATTTAAATTGATTAATTAACAAATTAATCTACGCAGTCGGCCGCCTATGATACCACAAATGATATTACATGAAAACACATTCAAACAAGTAGCTTCCACTGTCCATAAAAGATTAAACCACTTCATATCAAGGGTCCTTGACAGTGCAAGTGGAGGAGACTTCCCATTCTTCTTCTTGGTATATTCGAATTTTTTCGACTAAGTAGCAATCAATTACCGCTTTTGATTAATGAATAAACTTTGTACTAATTAACAGAGTTGACCACTCATTCTCTCTACATTTTCAGACAATCATCTGTCTCTATATTTTGTCTCTGATCGGAACCTACTTCAGCTCTCTGAATCTTCTTTACTTGGGTAAGAAGTTTTATCATCTTGTTCTATATAATATATGTGTGTGTGTGTGTGTATACATATATGTAAAGGAAGGGTTAACTGATTGGCGCTCTCTTTTGCTTGCTTGCAAATGAAGGGTTCATCTGCTTGGAAACGCTACCATTCCTCTACGAGCGATTTGAGGAAGACGTTGATCGTTTAGCCGGAAAAATCAGCAGAGAGATAAAGAGATCGTACAGAAAATTTGTTTCTCAGTTTCTCAACCAAATTCCTAGAGGTCCAGTGAAAGACAAGAAAATCAGATGAAACTTTCCATGGACTATTTATACCATGGAACACATGTATCACTCACCGTGTGAAGATTTGTGTAAATAAAACACATTTTATATATATATATATATGACTGTATAATATATGTATGTGTGTGTGTGTGTGTATATAAGTATATCACTACATTGATTCCATTTGATTAGTTGATCACTTTAGCCTTCGTGAAATGGTTCCCACCTCCCATTTTCTTGGCTGAAACGGAAAACATTTCCCGATCAAGTAAATATATATCGAATTTCGTACGAAAAAGATCAAATTGAGCCGTCCTAGTTTGTACACTATTGACACATGCATGCACGATGCAGCAGAAGCAAAGGCCACCTGGATATATACAGTGCTGCTTCCTCAAGCTCTCTAATATCTGCTCCACTAATAATTGTAATATTTTTAAGTTAATGGATCATATTTGCATTCTCAAACATGACTGCTGACTAGATATGACACCACAGTGTAAATGTAGTAATTAAGTGGGGTTCTCTAAGATGGATCTCAAGATAAAGCAAATCATTTCAGTTTAAATCCTTATTGGGATACCATTGTTTCTAGGCTCTAACTAGAGATTAGATTTGGACTAGTTTTAGCCTTCCCAAATAAAAATCTCAAAAAGGGTATATATCTTGTCTTAAATTATTGTACATTATTGGAAGATGATGGCCAATGGCCATTTGGTGATGATGATCCCTATGGAAGTGCTGAGTGCAGATCGAATAAAGTGGAAATTCTACGATGCACTAGTGTATAAAGGTCGTACCCAGTGCACAAGGCTCCCGCTTTACGCAGGGTCTGGGAGAGGTGAATGTCGGCTAGCCTTACCCCTATTTATGGAGAGGCTGCTCCCAAGACGATGCACTAGTGTATGAGATGAATTAATATTGTATTAGATATTTAGTAGAATTTGTGAGCTTCGATTAAAATATTTAATCTAGCAGTTCATCAAAAACTCATTGGTGTACTGTAGAAGGTCAGAGTGTAGAAAACACATGTGCTAATGCATTACTATATTTACAGTGAATGATAAGCTTTGATTCAAACATTTTAATCTAGTCGTTCATAAAAATAGGGCATCACATACACTGGTGTACGAATGTATGTTATGCATTAGTATTACAATGGATGGTTGGGTTTGTATGTTTGATTAAAACACTTCAATCTACCTGTTCATAAAAGCATTGTATCATATATACAGCGGTGTATTGTACAAGTCTAGAGAACAGAAAAAATACAACAACGATTTGGCTGTCACTATCTCTGATGACAATTCAACTTCCATACATATATATGATCGATATCATGACAAGGCAAAGTGGGATGTGAATGCAATTCCAACAACCCACCATCATAATTTGTAGTGTCAAACTCTGATTTCTGCTGTTTTTGCCTGCCAACGCTACTACAGCAAACACCCCAATTAGGATAATCATGTACAAAAAGTTCAAAAGTAAACACGCACACACACAGATCCCACTAAGAACAAATCATTCTATTTGGAATATTGACTTTAGAACAATATATTATTATTAATTCAAGAAGCCTATATAAAGAGAGGGATGTTTTTGATAGGGCATTTTCCTTCAACTTGTAACACGCACAAACACAAGAGATAAAAAAGACTAGATGGTGAGAGTATGGGGAGAGATAGGTACAACTGATGGTGGTGGTGCTAACTGGTTAGTGTTGTGGGCAGCTTTTCTCAGCCTTTGCATCTTCTCCACCGTGGTTTTTTCGTGTGCAGGTGGTGTAGCCAAAGAGAAAACCACAGCAACCGATACAGAGTACTGCGGCGGCGGTGGATGCGCTGCCGGCTGTGGCGCAGCATGTGGTGCATGAAATATCCATCTCTTTACAATATCTAATCACTAAAGTGCGAGAGGTTTGCAACTTCCAAAATTAATTTAGAGAAAATATATTAGATTTAACTTCTTAGTCAAGTTTTGTATCAATTGACAGTGTAACGCATTTCAACAATTGCAGAAGTGATCAATTTCGTTGCTATTTGCATCAGTCTTTCCTTATGATCTTGAATGCCGTAGACTATTAATTATATGCACATTTTAATGGGGAATTCGGTTTGATGTTTGGGAAATATTGAAGTCGCGAGAGATTGCAACCATAAGGCATATCTTTGAAGATAAAATTTGGTTTTAGTTTGAAGGGTTCGATTGAAAAGACTTAATTTTGGTTTGGGTATTGCCTGCTTGTTTAGGATTGCTTCTTGAAGGGTTAAAAACACTTTTTAATATTCAAAAGTGTTTTTAACTCTCGTTTTTCTAGACTTAGAAGTGCTTTTTAAACAAGTATTTGTCAGATGCTATTTCGAAAAGTACTTGAATTTTAATAAGAAAAGTGAACAAACACCACTTTTAACTTTTTATACACCTCTTATTAATCATGTTATTTCTATTTGATTTATTTAATTCGATGACTTAAAAGAAATAGGGTATGAGAAACTTAAAAATAAGTATTGGAATCATTGAGGGATTTGAATAAAGTAAAATATAAGACGTGTTGATATTTGTTAACCATGTCAAGATGGCCGAGTTGGTCTAAGGCGCCAGTTTCAGGTACTGGTCCGAAAGGGCATGGGTTCGAATCCCATTCTTGACAAAACTTTTTTATTTTTTTTATTTTATTTTTTTTTCAATCTACGTTTCAATTTATTCATAAACAATTCGAATTTCCTTTCAACTTATTCATTAATTTGAAACATCATATGTTCGACATCCCAATGAAAACCAGAAGACCAACAAGAAAATGGAAGTGTAAATTACTGATATAAACTTAAGGGTAAAAGACTGTTTACTACCCTCATGTTTCGTGGTTTTCAACATTTAGTACATCAAGTTTTTTTCGTCTCAGAGTCATACCTAAAGTGTAAATTTTGGGACAGTCTCATACATCCGTTAGTCAAACTGTTAAGTTTTTCGTTAACTGTGACGTGGCGCACTGACTGGGCGCCACGTGTCATCTACGTTTTTTTTTTTTTTTTTTTCTTCTTCTTCTTTTCTTTTCTTTTCTTCTTCCTTCTCCTTCTTCTTCTTCCTCCGACTGCAACTTTCTTTTTTTTTTCTTTTCTTTTTTTTTTGCTTCTTCCTTCCCCTTCTTCCTTCCCCTTCTTCCTTCTTCTTCCTTCTCCTTCTTCTTCTTCTTCTTCTTCCTCCGAAATCTGGGGAAGTTTGTTTTTTTTTTTTTCTTTCTTTCTTCTTCTTCCTTCTTCTTCCTTCTTCTTCCTCCGACTGCAATTTTTTCTTCCTCCTTCTCCTTCTTCCTTCCCCTTCTTCCTTCTTCCTTCTTCTTCTTCTTCTTCTTCCTCAAAAAAAAAAAAAAAAAAAAAAAAAAAAAAACTTTCATCTTCCCCCAAATTCGGAGGAAGAAGAAGAAGAAGAACGAAGAAGGGGAAGGAAGAAGGAGAAGAAGGGGAAGGAAGAAGGAGAAGAAGGGGGAAGAAAAAAAAAACTGAATCTAGGCAAATTCGGAGGAGTAAGAAGAAGAAGAAGAAGGAAGGAGGAAAGAGAAAGAAGAAAAAGAAGAAAAAAAAAACAAAACAAAAAAAAAGCTTCCCCAGATTCGGGAAGAAGAAGGAGAATGAGAAGGAAGAAGAAGGAAGAAGGGGAAGAAAGGGAAGGAAGGAGGAAGGAGGAAGGAAGGAAGAAGGAGAAGGAGGAAGAAAAAAAAAAAAAAAAAAAAGTTGCAGTCGGAAGAAGAAGAAGAAGAAGAAGAAGAAGAAGAAGAAGAAGAAGAGGAAGGAAGGAAGAAGGAGAAGGAGGAAGAAAAAAAAAAAAAAAAAAGTTGCAGTCGGAAGAAGAAGAAGAAGAAGAAGAAGAAAGAAAGAAAGAAAGAAAGAAAGAAAGAAAGAAGAAAAGAAAGAAAGAAGAAAAGAAAAGAAAGAAAAAAAAGAAAAAAAAAACGTGGATGACACGTGGCGCCCAGTCAGTGCGCCACGTTACAGTTAACGAAAAACTTAACAGTTTGACTAACGGATGTATGAGACTGTCCCAAAATTTACACTTTAGGTATGACTCTGAGATGAAAAAAACTTGATGTACTAAATGTTGAAAACCACGAAACATGAGGGTAGTAAACAGTCTTTTACCCTAAACTTAAATTAACGTTTTGTATGCTGCACTGTGGACTTTTTGAGTTGCCATGGAGTTTTACAGCATGTAGTACCACTCTGTGACTTACCAGGCATAATATCCAAATCAATGTCCGAAAACGAAGAATAAGATGTGTGCACTCTCTTCCCAGCTGATCCACAATCGCAGTGCCTTACGTGCTGCGCCACGTGCGATCCAACCTTGCACGGTACCTTGATGCAACGCCAGACAACGGTTAAAGGGCAAGAAATGCACAGCAAGCAGGCACTGCAGAGAAACTCCATGGCTTTTCTCCCCATTTCGCCTTTCGTCCATGAGAAGAAGTGTAACTAGAAACAGAACGAGAATTCGAAGGCCTTCCAGCGTCCATCTTGCTTCGTTTGGCATCTAAGGATTCGTTTAACCTGGCTTTCTGTTTGCTGTTACTCCTTTTCTAAGGTTACATCGACTTGCTGTTCGGGGTCGACTTGTTTATCTTCCCTTTTCCTCTTTTCTGTTTTACTTTCTGTACAAGCTTTTCACTTTTTATCATCTTCGTAGAGCACTTGCAATATGCTCCGGCCGCCTTCCGGGGTGCTAGAGTCGGCAAGGACCAACTGCCTTGGAATATCGAAAGGCAAAGCAAAAGGGGGAACTGCGCGCCGTTGCAAGGACCGGCAGGGAGGGGAGGGAAAAGAAAGGCAGAAACCTTCTCAACCCTACGATGGTTCAGGTTTCTTCAACTTTTCCCAGTTTTTAACGCCCGATGATGTTATTCATAAAGTAGCAGAATCGTATTTCAAACCTATCGTTATGCATCGACGAAGAAATAGGAAAGACTCGGATTCCAAATTGAGGAGAATCTATTTTCCTGGTGGAAGCAAAGTTATTAAGCAACTCAACGGTAGTACATTAAGCTAACAGCGAAAGATCTTGCCGAACCAGAAAGATGTTTAAAACATTGCACATAAACTTCAAAACAACACTGATCTTAACAAGTTATACATCCCTGTGAACTTTTCAAGGACTAGAAAGTAAAGCAAATGACTGCCAACATTAGCAACTAGCAAAATGTATCTATCCGTGCACTAAATATCCATTTGGGGGTATAGACTATTGCAAAATAATAACCTTGGAGCGGGGGTCAACCAATTAAAACGCTGAATGTCGAGATAATGTCATCCCAGACCAGGAAACTTATTTGAGCTGCTAGAATTCAAAATCTCAAGCAGGTACTGCACTCTTTCCTTGCAATCTCATGGTCTTGTTGTGCAGCCTCTCCATGAATGCGGGATTTGCTCTTAATCTCTCCTTGACATACGAAACTCGAGCATCCTCAGCCAGTTTGTTAGCCTTCCCAGCTTCCTCAATGAGGGAGAGAAGTGTCCTAAGGCAATCCTTTCTATTTTCTTCTCGGTGTTCAAACCTTCACATGAAATTACGGAAATGCTAGTTCAGTTCAAGTAATAAAATACACAATTAAGAATACCATGTTGGAACTTTGAAGTGATAGAATACAAGCAGTGCACTCTAAACAACAATCAACCACTCTAAGAACTCCCAATTAATAATGAAAATGATAATAGAGAAAGAGGGATGCAGTTTCTGGTTGACTTACCTCTCACTAGTAATTGTAAGCTCATCTTTCCCTGGATTGTACCGCTTTCCAACCAAGTCTCTGAGCCGACGGAATTGATGCTTTGAAAGCCCGAGTTCTTTCACTGTAACAGACAGTTTCACTTTTCTATTCTTGGGATGCCAGGAATCACCACCAGGAGCAAAGACTACCCGTGTTTGCCACCTAAGGATTGGCCCTTCGCCTGGTGGGTCAGCCAGATCCTTCTTGTCAGACACATCCTCATCAAATTGTGGGGGGGCCGTCGGCTTCCATCTTCTGCAAATACTCCATGACAATCTCATCCTCAAACTCCTTGAACAACTCATAAGCTTCTTCAGGTTGAAGCTCCCCTCCTTCACACTTATCCCCCAAGTCATTGAACTTCTCTTCTACCTTCCTTTTCATGTCATCTGGAGAAGACAAATTATATCAAACATTATTTAAAAACAAAACCAAAAAGAAAAAAAAATGCAAGTTTGAATCAAATCATGCAACTTTGGTGACATTTAAACACTGTCGTACGATATTCATCTCTGTGATAAGCAAAGAAAATGCTTGACATCTAACAATTGGATGCACAGAAAATTACCCTTGAGCAAGGTCTAGCCATGTTTGGAATAATGATACTAAGAAAACAACTATTGAAATCATGTCGAAACATATTAAACAAATGGTAAATATGAAAAAATTGTGGGCAGATGCCTAAATGTCATAAAGCTTAACACAAAAACATCCAGCAACAGTAATTGTATACCTGGCAGGAGCTTATCCCAGCTAAGCATATCCTCGAGAATCGCCTCACACTCCTTTGTATCCTTCATAATCCCGTGCTTAATTGCATCCTCAACAATATCATCCCACTTCTTGGCATCCATGTTGAAGTACTCATCTTTTGACATCCTATTCATGACTATATCCTTTGCGTTATACAAGTCATCAATCTCTTCATCCGTGTCGTACAATTCCTCAAAATCCGATTCAAACTCTTGGTCCTTAACATCATCCAATGGCTGCATTTGCAATTCATCAATCAGCTCATCATCTGTTTCCTCGTGCTTCCCAGCCAATCTCCTCTGCAGAATTGCTTCGAGTATCTCCGGGAGCGCCTCCTCATCACCCTTAAAATATTTATCTATCCGCTCCTTCAGCTCTATAAAAACCACAAACGAAAACTTCAAATCAACATCGTTCTTAGCTTTATAAATTTAGAAGGCAAAAGAATATAAGTTACAAATGTCACTTAAATTCAATAAATTTGTCCCTCCCTGGCACTAAATACTGAACCCAATAAGCCAAAACATTCAAATAATCCAATTTCCATCAAATTATTCACACTTTCATCATATCAAATGAAAAAATCACAGACCCAGAACCCCAAAAATCCACAAGATCAAAACTTTAATCTTTGGTAATAAAAAACTTGAAAAAATAAGAGTTGGGTCACCTTTGTTATTGACGTCCTTGACTTCGACGGAGGCATCTTTCTTTTTGGTTGGGATCAAGCTCGAATCAGCAGCCGGATTGGGGCCTTCGGCGGAGGAGTCGCCGTCCGAAGAGAAGAACCGGCTGAGCAGGGACCGAGTCGAACGGGCGAGTGGGACGAGTGAGGGGGTAGGATTTGGGTTGAATGTTTGAGGAGAGAGAAGGCGATTGCGAGTGCAGAGAGAGAGATTACTCAGCAGAGTTCGTCTCATGGTTCTTTCTCTCTCTAGGGTTTATCAAAAGTTGGGATTTTTGGTTTCCTGTAAAATGCTTTGCTTTCTTTCCATAATTTTCCGAGTTTCTGCTGCTGAATATTTTTTTCCCTTTTTGCCCAACTGAAAAATGTAATCTAAAAGTAATAAATACAAAAACCCCTTTGTGTAAGAAGGGTAGATGAGTCATTTTATATGGAAATCTACTTATTTTAGCAATTTTAATCCAAGGTTGGTTAGATTTTGTAACTCATCACAACGGCCAAATTATTTTTCAGGTTCCCTAATTGTTGGAAAGAGATCCTTTTTAGGATCCCTTCCTCCTAATCCATCAAATCAGAGAATCCGTACTATTGAAATTTGATTCAACGATTGAAGTTATTATAACTTTTAAAATGGGCCCTATTTGTAGTCATTTGATCAAATTTTAACGGCACAGATTCTCTAATTTAGTAGATTAGGAGGAAGGGATCCAGAGATGATCCCTTTCCCTAATTGTTTTTCTTTATCACGCCCTGGTTTTGGACTAACAATTAACATAAAGATTACGAATCGATAAATTACTGGTGGAATCAGATTCTATACTCACAATTTATTTAGTGCTACAATCTGCGAGCAACAATCATCATTTGGGTTCCTTGTGTTGCTTTCAAAATTTTGGCAATGAGATATTCAGCGTGTTTATAGAGGAAAGAATTTTGGGGTGAATAATTATAGGCAATTTTTACTTTGATAAATTATTTTTTTTCAATTAGTTTTGTACGTGAGGATCAATTTGAAATGTCCCGGTTTAAATTTATTCTTAAATTAATCAAATTGCGATTGTTGTTTGCCAAAATATCAGAGAATAGCAAAACAATTGAGACATAAAAATTTCCCAGAAAACCCAAAATTTATATTTCTCAGAAAATCTGAATTCCTGCACCATTGGAAGCCTCTTTCGTTTGTGACAGTGACTCGGTCGAGTAGAAGCTGAGTCTGGGCCGAGTCGAAGCAGCGAGTGGAGGGCCGAGTTGGGCTTTAGAGACGGACATTTCTAAGCAGGGATACTGATAAAATGGAAGAAGAAGAAGACAGAGTTATGTGGGCCTCTCGGCGTATTTGGACCACCAGGCCCAAATGAGTTACAGGCTTTGAGTGGGAGAGTTGGACAGAATATTGGCTGAGTAATGTTATTTATATTATATTTTTATACCACATTTCTATACCACCTTAGGTGGCATATGATGTGGAAAAATTTTGCAAAATCCAAGAAAAGAAATAAGAAAGACTCCTCATATACCACAATCATCATTTAATTAACTAGTTTTTCTTAATTAGTAGTTTATTAAATAATAAACTAAATTTAAAAATCTGATTAATTCAAATGATGTGACTGTCCACATCAAATGTCACCTAAGGTGATATGAAAATGTGGTACAAAAACATGGTATGATTAGCATTACTCATATTCTTCTTTTCTTTTTCTTTTTTCTTATTTGATAAGGGAACTGATTTTTGAACTTTTTTTTTCTTTCGCATGTTTTGTATTTCTGCTATGAATTATGCTTTAATTAATCAAATTTAGAGGCTAAAAATAAACATAAGTGTACTTAACAGAAAAAAGTGTCCATAAAAACGCAAAAAGTTTTTTTTTTTTTTGCCAAATCTAGTTGTAACATTTCACATCGACGAATGAAGAGGAGGTGATGTGCCTTATACGTACATGCACACCTCCATATAGCACGAGACCTTTTGGGAATTCACTAGCTTCGGATTTCATCGAAACTCTGAAGTTAAGCGAGTTTGGGCGAGAGTAATCCTAGGATTGGTGACCCACTAGGAAGTTGCTCGTGAGTTCCCATAAACAAAACCGTGAGGGAATAGTAAGCACAAAGTGGATAATATCGTACTACGGTGAAATCAAGACTGGGATGTGACAGAATGGTATCAGAGCCACTCTACCTTGTGGTGTGAGTGTGCTGACGAGGACGTTGGGCCCCTAAGGGGGGTGGATTGTAACATCCCACATCGACCAACGAAGAGGGGGTGATGTGCCTTATATGTACTTGCCTACCACCATATAGCACGAGGCCTTTTGGGAACTCACTGGCTTCAGATTCCATCGGAACTCCGAAGTTAAGCGAGTTCGGGCAAGAGTAATCCTAGAACAGGTGACCCATTGGGAAGTTGCTTGTGAGTTTCCAGAAACAAAACCCTGAGAGAATGGTAAGTCCAAAGCAGACAATATCGTGCTACGGAGGAGTTGAGACTGGGATGTGACATAGTAGCGCGGATGTCTAACTAAACAAAATTTAGGGAATTGACAGATTAAAGAGTTCGTGTCAATTATATGTTTTATTGATACAGCTTCTTATCTATGCAGTTTCGTTTTTTCCATTGTTAAAAGAAATCCGAGTTTAAATCTAATTCCGTTATTGACCAAAATTCTCAATTGTTTTGTTATAAAAAAATCCATAAAAAAATTATTTTAACAAAAATCACAAATCTATGATTAATATCTATTCCTTTTTTTTTTGTCTCATTGAAATTTAAATATGTGTATTGGATGTGGCATGAGTCACACAGACTCACTATCTTATTTTCAATTCAAATGACATCATTGCATGTTGTTAAATATCTTAGTTGAAAGGGTGTTGCGTTTTTAGTCATGTGTCTCAGATTCAAAATTTATTTCCACTAAATTATTATAATAGTTTGAAATGCTTATCTTCTCTTTAATAATGTCATCATGTTCTTTTTAAAATATCTCTATCTATGATATTGTTTTTTTTAATGAATGAATGATGTGGCATGATACTTGGAAATTCTTTAGAAATTAAGAATAAAAATTGAGATCTTAATCTATATCTTAACAACTTTAGTTTTATAACCCTAATTTCAAACGTAATTTTGCTTGTTTGTTTTATTCTTGTGATTAATCATTCAGTTAAGTGATTTAGATAGTTAAAATATTTTTTTCTATTAATTAAAAACCCCTAAGTACATAAACCAATTGTTTAACGCGTTGCTTGTAGCTGAGTGTTTTGACCTCGAAAAATGCTTTTTCAAAAACTATTTTTGAAAACAACGCGGGGTTGAAAATGAGCACGGCCATTGGCCACACAGACAGATCACAAAAGCTGATTTGTGCTTTATCTTAAAAGCAGATTACAGCTTTTGACAATTGACTTTTCTTTGTTTCTACTCCTGTCTTGTGCTTTACGCTTACTCATATAAAATTAAGTTGCTGCTGAGAAAAGCAGAGTGTTTTTTTTTTCCATCAGAAGGATAATATAATAGTTAGATGGGAAATGTGAACATGAATATCTTAAAATAGAACTTTTGGTAAATTCTACTCCGTTTCATGTTCTTAGCACAATATTTTATAACGTTGCTATTGAAATTGACATTAAAATGTGAAGTAACAAAGAATATATAAAAAGTTATATCTTTAAAAAAGTCCTTTAACAGTCCTCATAGTTTGATACCCTTTTTTTACAGCATAAAACAAAACTTAGTCCTAGTGGTCCAATCCTAATATATTAACCATGAGACTAACTAATCCTAAATTTAGACATTAAAAAATTGCTTAATCATGTGTTTACATTTTGTTCAACTCTACATGATCGACTCCTGAAACTAGGCCTGGCATTTTGGACCCAACCCGTTAACCCGATCCGACCCAACCCGTTAATATTTGTATTTGGGTGGATGCTTAACGGGTTGGGTCGTTAACGGGTGAACCCGTTAAATAACGGGTCACTTTGGGTCAACCCGTTAGACCCGTTAGCATCCGTTAGTTGATGATATTTTAGTAATTTTAATAAAATCTTAATGACAAAAAATAAACTTTATGCAAAAAATAAAAATAAAAATAATTGTTAACGGGTGAAACGGGTGACCCGTTAGTTTAACAGGTCGGGTTCGAATGACCCGTTAGCTTAACGGATTGGGTTCGGATGACCCGTTAACTTAACGGGTCGGGTTCAACCTGACCCAAATCTAATAAATCCGACTCGTTTACAGGTCTACCTGAAACTACCAAGTACTTACTAGCTACTGAAGAATATTGTGGAAGCACCATATATGCTAAAGAATCCTGCCGACGCGTATGAGTCAACTCGACCTCCTTCTCGTGTTGCGTGTTTAACTGGCTAGAACAACAAAGCATCATTTTCTTTGCATTCGAGTTAAAATCTTATTTTGTAAATAAAATATCGTCTTTTAAAAACTAAAGCAAATTAATGTATAATCATGACTAAATATAAAGACAGAATAATAATTTTTTTCCATCATTAGACGAGATAATGAAATCAAAACCTTTTAACCCGGAAATTGTGGTGAAAAGCTCAAGAAATGGCGTACCTGGTTCTTTTTTTTGCCACGATTTTGTCTGTTTGGAGTTGGACCCATGAGAATCTTCGACAACAATTTTCATTGAATTAGGCAATGAATTTCTGCTTTTTAACATGTCAGCAACACAGGTGATTACACGATATGTTATTATACAGATAGAAAAAAGTTTATGTTTCTCTCTACTTGTATAATGATATATAATGTATCCATCTGTATTCCTAGCACATTAAAAAATGTCTCTAATATAAGCTGCAAGCTATTGAACCTTTGTTTATTCGAGCGATGTTATAATTTAATCTAACATGGTCATTCTTTGTAATTCGAGTCCAAACCAAAGCGTCACAAATTTTTGCAAAAAGAAGAAAAGCGAAATATACGACGATGTTGAGTTGATGGTGGAGAAGGATTCAAGCAAGCCACCCGGCGGTGTTATACATAGTGAGTTTAGATCTGGCTCAAATTTCACATCCATGAAATAAGGTGCATGAAGTCTTTATTATAATTAGAAATCATTACATAAAAAATAATTCAAAATTAAATAAACAAAACACTGCTCTATCAAACTTGATTTCGTCAAAGTTTGCAATGTCTTTATAAAACGAAATAGAGGAACTTCTTTTCTCAAATGGCACTCAACTAGCGGAGTCACGGGGTGGGCTTCCAAAGATGCCTTGGAAATTCTCAAAATAAATAAATAAAATAAAAAATTGGGTTTTTTTCTAATAATTGCCTTAAATTGTGATTATTAAAATTAATATGCAAAA